GGCAGGCGCTCCAGGCCGCGGTTCGCCAGCGTCAGGGTCGTGGCCCCCGTGGCGGAAAGCCCCTCGCAGGGCGACCCCGTGGCGTTGCCGGCCCCGCTTCCCCAGGGGCACTGCTGGGTGAGCCGGAAAAGAGGGACCCCGTCCTGGGAAGGCCCTGCCAGGCTGAGGCGCCGCGCCCTCGGCAGCAGCAGCAGCAGCAGGGCCACCCACATGGTGCGCGGCTGGGGAGAGAACAAGGGGACAGCCCATTCAGTCCGGAAGAAATACCCCGAGAGAAGGGTGAATGTGCCCCCTACCACCGGGTCTTGAGGAGGAGCCCAAGTCCTGGACGGTCCCTAGCGTGACTGAGTGTGCAGTGACTTGGACCCTGCCTGCTTTCTCCCTTCGTCTCCCCCACGCGCGCCGGGCACCTCCTGCTCTTCCGTCCCGCAGCGACGCCCTTGCCCCTAATGCCCTCTGGTTCTGTGGCTGCTGACCCACAGGGGCCTCCTGCGGAAGGCCTCGCTCATCTGTCCCACCTGGGCCTGAACCTCTCAGTAACCCATCCATGAGCTTGAGGAGGGAAGGCAACTTGCCCTTCACGGCTGTAAACTCTCCAGGCGCAGACACTGCTACATAAACGTCTATGAATAAAGAGCATGGGCCTTGAGGAAGATTTTGTCAGTCCCAACAGAACTCAGTTGCCCCTATTTTCCCCTTAGAACTGCCCAGCCTCAGGTGAGTCCTGGTTTGCAGGTCACATTTTAAAATGAATTCTGCGGTCTCCTTCTTGGGAGGGCCCTCAGGGTTGCCTTCAGGGAAGCAAGGAGCCCCCAGACAGCTGTGATACTTGGGAACCTGGAGTCAAGCCTTTCCTGGTCCCAACAAAAGCCAGGGCTCCTGAGGTCAGCCATACCCAGGGGGAATAGCTAAGGGTTGGCATGTGTGGAGTTTCTGGAGTAGCCAGGATTGCACAGGGAAGCTGGGAGGTCAGGTAGGGGTAGATCAGGCAGCTGTGGGCTGGTTTGAAAGCGGCAAAGCTACTTCCAACCAAGTCTTGGCCTCGACATCACTCCTTAATATTCCCACATATCTGTAGGTGTGTATTCCTGCCCCAGCTGTCTCTGCTGACCACTAGGTCTCTGAGCAACCATCCAGGCCCCCTATTGCTATTTTGGGGTCCAGGCAGTGAGAAAGAACCCGGAAACTGAGGCCAGGAATCTATGCATCTGGCAGTGTTTCATACTCACGGGAAGCTGTCCTTTTGGAGTGTGGCACTCCTGGATGCCCCTTTGTAGTCTTCACTCTTGTCTTGGAGATCCCAGGAGCCAGTGACACAGCAGCTGAACTCTGAATTCCAGAGGGAGGCCCGTTTCCCAGATGCCCCTTCCCCCCACCCCAGCCACTGACAGGGCCTGAGATACCTCAGTGCCTGCACTGTCCTCCTTCCTCATTGTGGTCTTTAGCCAACACCCTCACTGCCTGTCTCCTCCTCCCACTCTGATACTGATCCTGCCCCTTTCCAGGCCTGGAACCTCCTCTCAGCCCTCCCCCATCTTCATCTCACCTTACACTGCCTTTCCAGGCCTGAGAAATGCAGGGAGTCATCTCTCCCCTCCAAAGTGAGGGCCGAGGGCTGACAAGCGCCGTGAGGCAGAGGTGACACTGTCACCTCTCAGGAATCTGATCCTCCTACCAGGTGGTTTCTATTTCCTGGGATACTTGGAGGGTGAATGGTGAGCCCGCATGAGGAGAGAGCCCCGTGGCCCAAAGGATGAAGGTCCCCCAGTCCGTAGGAAGGCCTGCAGAGATTTACAGGGGAAAGTGGCCGAGAGGGGTCTTCAGAGGAGTCTGGGAGCAGGGGCCGGCTCAAACCAGATCCAGGCGCCTCCAAGAATAATTGGTTTGGTTTCTATGGGACCCAGTTTGGTGACGGCGTGGAGGTTTGTTTCTTATATATTGCGACAATAAATAAAGTGATAGAAATGCAGAAAGAACATTTCCGCTTCATGGCGGGTTTACTGATCCCGGTTACCAAGAGCCCCAGGTCTCCCTGGAACTACATGAGCTTTATTTAGAGCCCGTCTGTTTAGAGCAGACAATGCCTTGCTCCCCCTGAGCTCTGAGACTGGTCCTTTTGCCTGAGGGCCTTTGATCTGCACATCCCCTCCCCCCAGGCCCAGGGTTAATCATCCCTGTGTTGTGTACACAGACTCAAACCGGAGCTGCAGGGATCTTTCCTCTGGTCAGTGCTTACCTGAGCAGCCCTGAGGAAATGCAGGACACCTCTGACCTGTGGGTTGGGTTAACTGGATAATTGCGTGTCCCAGGGGATCTCCTTTTTTTGGCCTCCACCCAAAACCTCAATACTATACTGGGGCAGCACAGTCACCACCCAGGGATCCCAGGCNGGATCTCCTTTTTTTGGCCTCCACCCAAAACCTCAATACTATACTGGGGCAGCACAGTCACCACCCAGGGATCGCAGGTCAATGAAAACATCAGCTTCTCTCAACCTGGTCTACCCCAGAGGCGATGGACCACCTGAGACCAGCAGAGGTTTGGGGAGTTCAGGTAGGGCTGCCCAGGTGAGAGGGAGCCAAGTGAACAGAGATCCTGAGGAGGAAGTAAGTTGGTCCCCCATGGAGGGCTATAAAAGAGGACCCCAAGGAGCAATGTTGGGGTGCTCCTCTTAACACCAGTTAGGGAAGGGGTCTGGAGAGGGCCTGGCTGCAGAACTCCCCTGAGGTCATTGCCGTGCACTTGCCCAGAGCCCCAGGCCCTCTGAGCCAACTTTTTGTGTCTGCTGCTTGCTGCCTAGCTCACTAATGGTGGCAATGGCCTGGACTGGACAGGCTGACCTGACATCTGAGCTCAGCCCTCTGGACTGCTCTGTTGTTCTGGCTCCGCTCATAACAAACCCAAGTAGGCACATTCTGGGCAGGCTGCCCAGTTGGGCTTTTGAGTTGGGGAACCTGGTGGCAGACCCTGCATGGCAGACTTTGCTTACCAGTCTCATCCAGGTGGCAGGTTTCCTCAGTGGGTACACTCTGCTTGTCACCACCACTATCCCCCTTTTTAATTTTATTATTATTTTTAAAAATTTCTTTCCTGATCTCATTGTTAACCCATTCATTGTTTAGTAACGTGTTATTTAACCTCCATGTCTTTGTGTGTTTTTCAGTTTTTTTCTTGTGATTGATTTCTAGTTTCATTATAGTCAGAGAAGATGCTTGATATGATTTCAGTCCTTTTAAATTTATTGAGACTTGCTTTGTGTCCTAATATGTGGCCTATCCTAGAAAATGTTCCATGTGTGCTTGAAAAAATAGTATATTCTGCTGCTTTGGGGTGAAATGCTCTGAAGATGTCAATTAAATCCATCTGATCTAGTGTGTTATTTAAGACCACGGTTTCCTTGTTGATGTTCTGTCTGGAAGATCTATTCATTGATGTCAATGGAGTGTTAAAATCTCCTACTATGACTGTGTTACTGTTGATCTGTTCCTTTATGTTCATCAAGAATTGTTTTACATATTTAGGTGCTCCTATGTTGGGTGCATAAATTATTACAAGAGTTATATCCTCTTATTGGAGTGTTCCCTTTATCATTATGTAGCGTCCTTCTTTGTCTCTTAGTATAACCTTTGTTTTAAAGTCTATTTTGTCAGAGATAAGTATTGCCACCCCAGCTTTTTTCTTTTCCATGTGCATAAAGTATCTTTTTCCCTCCCTTTACTTTTAGTCTGTGTGTACCTTTTGCTCTGAGGTAGGTCTCTTGTAGACAGCAAATACATGGGCCTTGTTTTCTTATCCATTCAGCTACCCTGTGTCTTTTGATTGGAGCATTTAAGCCATTTACATTTAAAGTGATTATTGATAGGTACATATTTGTTGCCATTTTATTCTTTTAACTATGTTCCTCTGTCATTGTTGTTGTTCTTTTCCTCCTCTTCCTCCCCTCCCGCTTCCTCTTCTTCGAGAAGGCCATTTAACATTTCTTGTAACACTGGTTTGGTGGTAACAAACTCTAGCTTTTTCTTGTCTGGGAAGCTCTTTATTTCTCCTTCAGTTTTAAATTATAGTCTTCCCGGGTAGCGTAGTCTTGGTTGCAGGTCCTTGCTTTTCATCACTTTGAATAGTTCATGCCATTCCTTCTGGCCTGAAATGTTTTTGTTGAGAAATCAGCTGACAGTCTTATGGGAGCACCCTTGTAGGTAACTAACTGCTTTTCTCTTACTGCTTTTAAGATTCTCTCTTTGTCTTTAACTTTTGGCATTTTAATTATGGTGTGTCAGGCTTCAGGGAAGGTGCGGGTTGTGACCCCTACCCCAGAGCCATATAATTCAGTCTGTCCCAGGTTTTACCCAGCCCTCAGAGGGTGGAGCCACTAGGAGTCAATAGGTGGGGCCACCCACCATCCCTCTTTTTAAATTGAGCACTTACTACAGTCAGAGCCTAACACTATATGCATTATCATATTGATTCCTCACCAGGTTCTGACTATTATTCCCATGCTACAGCCAAACTGAGGCTGATTAAGCTCTGGAACACACAACTAGTTAGTCTGTAGTTAGTCTGTCTGGCTTAATCACAGCTTTTACATTGCCTTCCATAAGCTTCAGCATTTCACACTGTAAGATTTCCTGTAAGTCCAAGAGAACTTTTCCCAAATATTTAGACAGACCCAAATCATAGGGGAAGTCAGGACAGTTGGGAAAGTTTCTTTCATAGTTGAGCAGCTCATTCTCAGAAGAAACAAAGCCAACTTCTTGGGTCCCTGTGGGCCCAGGACTGAGGCACGTCTTGGGAAGGCACCACCATCTTCTCCAGCCCTTTCTCTTCCAGCACCTCTGGGAGGTCAGAAAAATGTGACTAAAGTGTTTGTCCCCTCTGGACATGCTAACATGCTGTAACAAAGTCCTGAGGCCAAAAGTATGTGTCCTCCAAATGCCATACCACACCAAATGCCATGCCACCTCCTGCTCGCCATTGCTTTTTACCCAAGCAGCAACCTCTACCTGAGTGCTCTTCCCTTTGACCACCTTACTCTCCATTTCAGTTCACTCTGCCATACCTGCTATGGGTTCCCTCAAGAGTTGATCCTGAGATAAGGACTCAAGTGCAGGTAGTTTATTTGGGTGGTGATCCCAGGAAGTGTGGAAAGAGAGGAAGGATGGAAGGGAAGGCACTGCAGGTGTGTTAATGAGCAGGTCACTCAATCCCATGGGGA